CATCTGAATTGTACCTGTTTCTATTTACTGCAGATATGGTAATGCTTTTTTCTTACCGATGAATATCCGAACTGTATTAGTATTCATTTTTAGAAAGTGGTTATGATTATGATAAGTGTCCTATCCGAACCGTGTCCGAACCGAATGCACCCCTACTAGCACAACTTCTTTTTGAAACCTTGAGTGTCCATTTTTATTTCTTATTAGTTCATTCAAAATGAGATATTAGGGAATGAGCATTCACACTTTAGTAGGAATAGAACAATTGAAACAAATACCAAATATGCATTGATTACTTATTGATTACCCATACCAAAATAAAAAATATAATTTCTGCTTCATCCTCTTTTTTTTCATAACTCAGTTCGAAATCGAACCAAAGACCATAGTAGCGATGTGGAACCTTCCAACAGTCCGGGTCACCTGCAGTGAGCTTTTCCACTTTATTCTCTAATCACACTGAAATGTGAAAATAAAAATGATCATTACATTCCTACACTCCTTCTATTTCATTTCTTATTTTATTTCATTCTCGCTTTACTAGGTTCACCATACCAAACAAGGCATTAGTAATGACTCATTGATGTATTTGACAAGTGATGACTACATATATTAATGCATGAGAGGGAATTTAATATAGAAAGTAAGAATAAAGAGACAAAACAATTAGATTTTTTTCTCTACCCAATATACGAGATATATGAAATAAATAGATATATGCCTTGCTATATTCGACATTTTTCTTACCCTATTTAACACCTTGCAAACACTACTTGTTTATTTGTATTTGATTAAATACACATAAATGGAAAAAATAACCATAAGAACATGGAGGGCCTTTTTTCATGAGTTCCAAGAATTATATTCTTATTATGAGTCTCAAAAAATTTTGGAGAAAACCTTAGCATCAGAGATTATGTAGTTATTGCTTTAATCGGTATTAAGGGAGTGACATTTTATGTATAGATAAGGGCCTTAACTAATATAATCATACTCCTTTTAAAAACACGAGTTCAAAACAAACTTTTCATGGTCAATATTACCCTTCACTATTTTGAATACTTCATTTAAATCTTAATCTATTCTAATTTTAATCATATCTTATCTAATTCCACGTAAACTATCTATAGCTCAACAATTTAAATTTTTTATTTTAAATATATAATTTAATTTTTAATCTATTCAAATACTAATTATATGGTATATTAACTCCATATGAACTACCTATAACTCAACAATTTAGAAAACATAAGATTAAGAAATTATACGTAGATAACATATTATAATACATGAAATATTAAAAAAACCAAAAGTTTTAAAAATTGCATACAATAGCCTTAAAGGTTTAAAATTACACAAAACACATTGACTTTTTAAAACTTAAAAACAAACATGAAATATAAAAATTTAAAATTTGCAACTAGCACTCTCACTATTTCAAAAATTATAGAAATAACCTCAAAAGGTTTAAATTATAAAAAAACACCCTAAAATTTAGAGATTTTAAAACTTAGAAACAATATAAATGAATTCCAGGGATTACCATTAGGCACTTAAAATTTTAAAATTTATAAAAAATAACCTCAAAGTTATAAAAATTATAAAAAACTCCCTCAAAAGTAAAAAAATTATAATTTTTTTTAAATTTTAAAACCTATAACTGGTACACATCAAATTTAGAAATTATCAGCAAATCGCTGAGAATTTAAATTTTTTTAAAAAACAACCAAAAAGTTTAGTAATTGTGTAAATACCTTCAAATTTTTATAGTTACAAGAAATATTGTAACATTTGAAAACTTACCACCAACACATGAAACATGAAAATTATAAGCAACCAACTTATAATTTAAAATTTTCATAAAATACTATCAGAGTTTAGAAATTGTAAAACACACCCTCAAAAGTTCAAAATCACAAAGAATGCTTAAATTTGGTAAAAAAAAAAGAGGAAATGTTTGATATTATTACATTAAGATATATAAATTTAACTTTCAATTTAAAATTTATCATCCATTTTCAGCATCTAAAAGTTGTCTAAGTTGATGCCGATAAAAAATAGCAATTACCATAGATTAAAACTATCCAATTAAGGAATTTGAATCTAAAAATATATGATAGATTAAAAATTAACATTGCTGTATAAATTCAAGGAACTACATATAATTTTACTAATAACATTCATTAATAGAAGACAAATTAATAAAAAACTATAATATAATGTGTTAACATTAATTGATTATAATGTATAAGCATTTATCTCTAATGTTGATAATATTCATAGGATAAAAAATACATGAAGTTATGTATAGAGAAACTATCAGAAAGTTCAGAAATATTATTTAAAAGAACTAAGTTATTTTTATTTCATATAGAGAAGTGAAGAAAATAAACTCATAATTAGAAAACATTCATAAATCAACTGAATTGACATTGATAAAAGGCATATCTAGCAAAAAAACACTAATTGAATTCCCCTTGAATAACATATTGAATAAATTTACCTTAATTAAAAAACATTCTTCATGAAAGATACAAGAAAAATTAGTAAGTATTTATAAATTTTCATACTTTATTCTTGAAATACTAAAGGAATAATAAACTTAACATAAAATTATGTATAAATAATCTTGCAATAGAAACTAAAGTGAAGCCATGGATCAACTATATTGCGAGATATAATAAGCTAGATAAGATGAGGAAAATTACTATAATAGACAAAAAATATGCACATGATACTTAGTTACCATAGTGTGAGTAAAAAAATCAAAATTGATATTTTTCTTTTTTCTATATAGTGGCATGACTCTACAAGTAACCTTATTTAGGGATATGACTACCAACAAAGGATAAATTTTTAAGGACACGATAAAAGATAAGCATGTAATAGTACTATCAGATTTCAAGATCTTTAAATATGAAGGTAATATATTTTATAACTAAAATTCTTATTAAAGGCCACTAAACATAAAATTCATATTATATCTATCTCAAATTTGTAGGAAAGATATGTATGCCATCATAAATTTTGTTAATAATATATATCAATTCAAAGATACAACTTATTGAAGAAATAAGAGAATGATAAGTAAACCAAAAAAACATTCATATAACACGATAAAAAAAATATTGCACTTTAAAGCTAATGTACAAGGCTCATTCAGAACTAGCTGCTAAAACAAAAGCATCTCCATCAAGGCTCTTTATAAATACAACACATATTTAAATTATTGAATATTTTATAGAATAACTTAATTGTTTGCATAAAATCACGAATCTTTAGAAGGAATTTTCATGAACTTTTTTAATATTTTTTATATGGTTATATGGATGCTTTTATCATATAAAAGTGTACTAAACCTAGCATTAATCTTTATTTTATGATTTTTTTGAAGTCTATCAATGATTAGCAACAAAATTTGTATTCTCTTTAGTTTTATTCTTGCCCACTTTTAATTAATCATATTGGCTTATTGGTTTTACTTATTCATCTTTTTTTATAACACTATTTTTTCAAGTGTTTTTCACTTTTACAGCATTATACCTTCTCAAATCAAGCTTGACTTCATGTCGATCCAAATAACGTGCAAATTCAAATTAGCTTTAGATTACATTTATTTCTTGTCAATTCAATTATTAACGTGAAAATTTTAAATTTGGTGTAGCCCATTAAAACAAACATTAAAGAAAATAAATAATCATAATACTAAAGTTTAAAGACATAAGTGAGCAAAAACAATCAAAGTAGAATTGAGGAATAAATTTTAGTAAAGAAATAAATCAAAAGTACTTAATCATAATATATAACAACGTGCATTGCACGTGCATAAAACCTAGTTATATATAAAAGATGTAGTTTTAAAAAGTTTACAAATGATGATAACAGTAAATTGTTTACGTCACTAGATTGCAAACATGCATGGGCAGTCTGAGGGTAGACGGCAGAGCTGCAAATTTAGCAACTTGAACGGAATTATGGATAACATCTAATATTTTTAAGGGTCTTTAGTAAAGTTGCTGCTTGGTGATCTAAAAGTCACGGATTCTTAGGTCGTGAAAGTAACCTTTTTCCACGTGGAGTTAAAATTGTATACGTGTGACCCTCTTCAAGATTCACAAAGGTTGGGCGTTGGGGCATCGTGCACTTGGACATACCCATTTATCGATCGAATGTACGTATGTCAAATAATTGGGACAAATTTTCAAAACCAACTCTTTTGGTTTTTTATTTGTAAAAAACAACCTATTTCAGTTTTATTTGCAAAAACCGACCTGGTTTCAGCCTCAGCGCTGAAACCAGGTCGGTTTTTGAAAAAAAGTTTCCGAAACTTCACGGGAGTTCAACTCCCGTGAAGTTTCGGAAACTTTTTTTTCAAAAACCGACCTGGTTTCAGCGCTGAGGCTGAAACCAGGTCGGTTTTACAAATATTTTGAAAATGGGTCGTTTTTTACAAATAAAAAATCAAAAAGGTTGGTTTTGAAAATTTGTCCCAAATAATTGATATAAAAAAAAACTCATTGATTCCTCTCTTTTTTGGAGCATGTTCTATTTTCATAAATTATAATCATATACTAAATGATGAACAACTATGATTGAATAAGTAACATTTCTAGAGCATTTCTATCGCACAAATAACTTGTTTTACAATTCAACTCACTGCGTACACAAAACTGTATGACTCCTTTATGGCAAAATTTACACCAAAGTTTGTTTTCTACCGCACAGAAACAAACACAAATCGGCAGCCGAGTTAGCAACGCTGCTCAAAATTGCTCCCGCAACGTCATGAGTTCAAATTTACACACCGTGGCCTCCAGTTGCGCAGCATCATCAGCCTTCATCTTCATCCTCGTCATCTCTGACGACCCCAATCTTCTTCTCAACCGCCCTCCCATCCACAGCCTTCGACCTGCCGGCTTCCCCACTCCCTCCCCACTTCCACCGACACCCCGTCAACCGCTCAGCTTCTCGCGTAGAGGCTCTAGCCAGTGCGTCGTGCCTCAGCCCGACATGTCGACGCTTCCGCTGCCGTCGCCGGTACGCCGACGTCGCCGGAACTGCGGTCCCTGCGGCCGGGCGAGAGCCTGCCTGCGGACTTGGCGTCGGCGCGGTCGGGAGCTGCTGACGGAGTTCGATTGGTGCGGTGACGGCGCCCATGTTTTGTGGTTGCGGGCGTGGGGAGGATCGTGGTCGCCGGAGGAGTTGTGCTTCGAGGGTTTTGGGACGCGAGTCTTTCCGTTACCATCTGTAAAAAGAAAAATAGTTTAATGGATATCATACATCATAATCATACGAAAGAATTCTCGCATACATGATGATTTGTCGCTACTAAATTTACACCTACATACTATAAATGAACAAAAGGTAGTGATAACTAAACTACAAATTCTACACCGCTTTTATACCACTCCAAACAAAGTAGTGGAATCCATGTGACTTGTTGGTGATAGTACAAAAACTAGTATAGATATTGCATTATGATTAACACTACATGATGCCATAATGAACGAGCAATCAGAATAGGATTAGGAGATGTAAACCTTGACCCGGTGATTTAGGAGAGTCGGTTGAATCTTTCCTCTTCACACTACTCCCCGCACCGCTAGCTGCCTCCGATGCATCTGGCTTGAACTCATCCATCTGTTTTCAATTGTACGACAACATCATCATCATTAAATCAATCAAAAGCTCGGTTACTTTTTAAAAGAGTAATTGTTAAAATAACACTACAGGCACACTCTCCACCGCACTCTCCACCACACCCCCTCTCCTGCTACAGTGCAGGGGGCCCACCTCCTGGGATTTTTTAAAAAATCCCAGGTGGGCCCCCCTGCACTGTAGCAGGAGAGGGGGTGTGGTGGAGAGTGCGGTGGAGAGTGTGCCTGTAGTGCCACTCTAATTGTTAATGATTTTGTACACAATATCCGCACAAGTCTCATCATCAGAATAGTATTTTATAGTAGCATAATATTCTGAACCATGAAAAACAGTTAGAATCCTCAAACTTCGCCCCTCTATCCTCCTCACAAAAGGCTCAAAACACCATGTTTATGTGGGTGTTATAATAAAATCTGTACCCTACCGGTCTATGCGTGCTTGTGGCTTGACAATATGTATGGAGATATGATGTGCACATTAATTAAAATGTAGATAATTAAGAAACAAGTAGTCATGAATTAGCTAGTAGATATGTGATTATGATTAATTAAGGAACTTACAGAAGGATTGTCCCAGCCAATATGTGCCACGTGTTTGACGTCGGTTGGGAAACCGATCGTCATCTCCTGCTCTTGCTCCTCTTCTTCTGCCTCTATATAATGCATAAATTCATTTAAAAAAAATTAGTACCATATGAGAAATCTAGAAATAATAGTAGTGCAGATCAAATGGATTAATGATAATGTTATACTTACCAAATATATTAGAGATGTACCTTAGACCCTTCAACAAGCCCTTCATTTTTGCCATTAAAGATGGTCAACCTGCAGGGTCCATGAGAGGACATTATTGGAGAAAATAATTAAAAAGAAAATGGTTGTTGAATCATTTTATGATTAAAGCAATCGATTTTTTTTCTAGATGACTTTAGATATAGCAACATTAATTATCACTTTAAGTAGGATGTGTGGAAATAGTCTTGAAATTTTTATTGAATGGTTATTTCTTAATAAGAAACAAGAACATGCAAAAATCAATTTATTAAAAAAGAAATAGGAGTCAATATAATAATGGTAATGTTCTAGGTCTAAAGAAAAGATTAATTCACATATATCCATATTGAAAATAATATGATGATTTTTTATTTGACCAAGGAAATACATTGACAAAAAAATCTTATATTTTTTAATCTAAGAACCATCAACAAGAAGGAAATCGAAGATGGAAAATTTCTAAAAAAGCAGATCATACCTTATAAATTATAATGTGATATTCAAACTCTTGTGTAATGTTGTTCACAACATTCTTCTCCATGAAACCCATCCATATGTACTCGAGGCCATCTTGAAGAATTACCAAAAAAGAAGAAGGAGAAGGATTAACAATAAATAATTTAAAATAAAATTTTAATCTTTTTATTCCCCTGAATTTGAAGAAGGAGAAGAAGGCGAAATTGGATCGATAAAACCCATCCACCCCAGAATAAATTAAACCACCAATAAGGGGAATGGGAATTAGAGTTTTTTTTTTCTCCTAAGGTGAAAATATAGAATGGAATACGTTTTTTTTTTTTCCAATTTTTAGAGAACAAAATTTTGCTAATTATTTGGTTTTTTTTATAGACTAGTACTTTATTGGGATTGCTTGTGTAACGGTCAGAGCGCAAAGCGCGGGAAGAAAGTGGTTGAGAAAATAGTAGTAAATCAAAGAAGTTTGCATGCTTTTAGACCCTTCCTTTTGTGATCATTTATTATCAGAGTTTATAAAGTGTAAGGTTCTCACCTAATCCTTGAGATAACCATCTGATATTTCTCTAGAAATAAATTGTATTAATCAATCATAATCATAATCAACAAAAGAAATCAACGTATTTCTTTAATGAACTAATCAACGCGGTTATCGAGCAAAATTTGCAGAATTCTAGCTCATATATTTTGTAGGAAAGTGTAACAATATGTTTTTCTTCTCTTTCTCTCGCCATTAGGTTGTTATAATACAAACATATATCTTTGGTATCCGAATAGTCATTTACATTTGACGTCGAATTTATCTGAGACACGGGAGAGAGCTGAAACTATTTTCTTACTTTGGCACAAGATTTAGACACTTTTTACAAATTAATTTATTTAGAATAAAATTTATTGTAGGCATAAGGATTAATGTCCATTCTAATTCAAAATGATTTTCTCTGGTCCATTGCCAATAACAAAAATTCATTATGAATAATTCGTTGTTTTTCTTCTGCTTTTTCACTAGTAGAAAAACGACCAATCTAGACGGAACAATCTAGACGGAAAAAATTTCCGTCTAGGTTGAATCAAACTAGACGGAAATTTTCCGTCTAGGTTGATCCGTCTAGTTTGGATCAAACTAGACGAAAAATTCCGTCTAGTTTGCCAAAAGAGACGGAAAGGTCAACCTAGACAGAAATTTCCGTCTAGGTTGACCACTCAACCTAGACGGAATTTCCGTCTAGGTTACCTAGGGCAATTTAATGCCCTAGTCAGCCCCCCCCCCCCCCCAG